CCGATATTGACAAAATCTAAATTTTGTCTTGCTTAGAAAGACAGTATTCTAGTAACTAATAAATCTACAATCATATAGGTAATTTAAAAAATCAAAGATTGTGTAATAGCACATAATAATTTGTTTATGCCAATAACCAATAAATTATAAGCTTTGCAGCTTTTCAGAAATTCAGAGAGCTGTGGCGTTACCACCAAGCAGCACTGCGTGAAAGATGATTCCCATTGGTCCGCTCTCACTGTCACTCTCGAATGTCACGTTATAGCCGGACATAATCCGTGTACACACTAAGCGGGTAATTTGATTTTGTTATATTAATTGTTTGAATTTTACAGGGTGGGAACTGTTAGCTCCGGATAAATTTATTTGAGTAATATAGAAATTTTATTAATATTGCACAATAAAATTATAACGTTGACGCATTGATAAAGAAAAGTTTATATAAACTCTTGTACTTGTACGTGCCCTTATTTTTCTGCTACGGGCACGCAAAATTTATTTTCGATAAGTTTTGTTAATTTGTTAATCAAAACACCATATTTTCAATATTTCATAAGGGTCTCGGGTTTTAGCAGTAAGAAGATTTACTTTTACATGCCCGTACTTTTCTCCTGCTGGCACGCAAAATTTATGTTCAACCAATTTAGAATATACCCTAGATATACATTCATGTATATTACCGGAATATTTGTTTTGAACATACTAGGTATATTCACCTGCACATATACACAATATGTACATGCCTGGCATGTTCATCTGCACATATACCCAATATGTACATATATAGGATATACTTTTTATGAACTTTGATGAATATACATGCATGTATATTCCACAAACGTTCATGTTAGGAATGTTCAACCATGTTCTATATATATATTCCCAGGATATTCCCGCAATGTTCTGTATATTTTTTGAACATTCTGGGATATTCATAGAATATCAAATGCTATCTGGGTGTTCTTGTGTATATCGAATGGCAAATGTGTCCCATGTTCTTGATACAGCTTTATCACATTCTCCATAAAAAATAAATAAGTTTAAACAATCTTCGTTTGTATAATTTAAGTGTCTGGGCATGATTATTAATTACTTTCAAAGGGTAACTGACAGCTGTCAGCATTCCTTTGGCATTGGTTGTAAAAATGGCCACTTTCGTCATGACAACTAAGAGTGACAGTATTTAAAATAAGATGCGTCAAAATAGCCATATGAAAACATTCATAAATAAATTTTCTAAAATAAATTCGTAAGTAAATTTCGAAAACTAAACACTTTTGGAATAGACATCTTTACACAAACTTCCATTAATTTTTAATACTGAATAAAACAAAATTATCAAAAATGGGTGGATTTCGCAACTGTATTTTGAAACTAATTTTTTTAACAGTTTCTATTAATACTTTTCAAAATGGTGTCAAAATTCCATTAAAGTAAGTTGTTCTCAACAATAAATGCAACTCAAATTAAGTAGCACGAATTTCCTTCTAGGAAAAATGAATAATTATTCGAGTGGTTGCAACTATCATTTTTTACCGAAAATTTCAAAATTCAACCAAAACGGTTAGACGTTTAAAGTGATACCGAGTGGAATAAAAGTTGTAAGCTGAAGAAAGAGTTTGATACTCGGCCATCCACGGTACAATATTGTAAATGAAATATATTTAGAACTTGGAGTTGAATTCAGAAACGTAGTAACATATAGGGTGTTCTATTTAAAATAAGCATGTTGTTACCTACTTTCGGTATAACCGGAAGCGTAGTCATCTTGCAAATAATTTCCCCTAATTATCGTTTGACAGGTATCGATCGCGGCGGTTTCCAGTGGGACCCTTTGTATACACGGAATGTGTATTTTATTTATTTCATCAAATATTTAAAATTCTTAGCGGTACCTGGCCAGTGGAATTTTTGTTACCAACTTCTCAACTGAAGAGGAGGGATAAGTTGTTCGACAGTGTGTTTAATTCCTTTTTGGGCGAACACTCTTCGTTGAATGACATCTTTGGTGATTCTTAATGTCCGATAGTGAAATTTACTATTTTCTCTAAAAAATATCTTGACTCTTCGTTGACTTGAGTTCAGTTCAGTTCAGTTTCTCACGTTCAGCTTGAGGTAAGCAAGTCTCCATTTTCTGCTCAAACTTAACTAACTAAACCGTCCTTTACGTTTTAATATAAACGATTAATTTCAATGCCACATAAAACCATTTTTGCTGCTGGTTTAAGTACAAGAACTAAAACTTCAGTTAATCAATACATCTGGAAGCCCATTTATAAATTATACTACTACTAATTATACTATACTATTTTTATTAATTATTGTTGTGTTTAAATATAATTGAAGTTTGCTATGGGATTTTTCATCCCAGTAAAGCTAATTAACATTAATTATAATCCTGATGACCTATAAATTTTAAATCCTTTCAAATAAAAACGTTCTTTGGGTCAAATTTTCTGGATATATCTCGAATATTGCACACTGAATTTTTAAAAAATATTTATACATTTAACATAAAAATCGCTCAAAAGCAAAATATTCTCTGGTTCTGATAAGCAAAGAATTTCCATGTTTAAAGAACTCAGTACGTTTCTATTTTTCCAGCTTTCAAGGCCTAATACACGTGTGAAAAAAATTTTCGATTTTATTTATCACATATTGAGGCAATTGGAAGAAATATTTAGTGCCTTGCTTGATGTTCTATTTTATGGAGTTTATTAGTTTCTACCTGTGGGCTTAGTGATTTCCTAATTTTCAATTAAATCCGTTTTGCTCTAAATATATCCAGGTGGGTGCTTAATTTTACTTTCAAAACTGAGTTGATTCATGTAAAAAGAACATTGAAACCTTTGCTGCCAACTTTGAAAGCTGAAACTGATTGACCTTTTTACATTTTCGATGGCTGGGTCAAATTGAATAGTTGATTGAGGTTTGACTGTATAACATTTTTGTCAGTGAATCTTGAATTTTCTATATTTTTAAGAGTACCTTCACACATATAATTATTTAAGTACTTGCACATCTGACTGATTCGGACCAGATTCGAAAAACGCTTAATTTCCGACCCACATGGTGTTAATATATAAATTTTAATAACAGTTTTGCATTTAACTGTATCACATAGCTTCGGTTGAAATTTGGTTTACTTTGAAGCATTCTTTTTATTATTTTATAGTTATCTGATGTTGTAAATTTGTTTCTTCTAGATGTTTACGGCAAATTGACAAATGGTTTTTCTGATCATCCGAGTAAAAGTAATTCTGTTTACCGTAGGGTTGTGGAGCCACAGGATAAACCAGAAAAGTTGGTCCCAAATCAGACAGTTAGCAAAATTTGAGAAAATAAAGATGGATCGGAAGGAATTCTATGTTTGTGTGTATCGGACGATGGGAATTCAATATTTCTTGCAACCAATTCAAGCTTTGGATCGTATACGTTCCGAGTGGTAAGTTTTGCATTTTTCAATGGATTTAATCATTAGTTCAGTTGATTTGATTATATTGGAAATATTTATTGGAACTATTCTGAACTTAAGTTAAGCAGCCATTAGAGACCCAAAAAGCCTGTTGAGATCCAAATTGTCTTTTATAACGAACTAATTACATCGAAGATTTGCTAAAATTCAATAAAATTTGTAGTAATTAAAGTGATTAGAAATTTGCAATGAAAAAATGTTTGCAATTTACAGGGTGTTTCACCGTGAAACGCCGCAATTGATATCTGACAAACCATAGTTAGGAGATATTTGAAAATTGGACAGTATGACGAAGT